TTTTCTTTTTTTTCTTTTTAACTGCTCAACACTTACCTTAATCACTTTACTTGTACATAATATGCTGAAGTTCTTCTTCTTTTTTTCTTTTTAACTGCTCAACACTTACCTTAATCGCTTTACTTGTACATAATATGCTGAAGTTTTTTTGTGTTTTTTTGTATATATTTTTTCTTCATGCTGTATTTCAATGTTTTGTACTGTAACACTAACAATGTATTCACTAAGAAATTTTGGGGATCGTGGGTATATATTTGCCATAGTTTATAGTACAATGTTACAATGTTATGTTATGTTATGTTATGTACAATGTTATGTTGAACCACAATGGAAATAAGTGTGTTAGCCACGCTTTTTTGTGTTTTCATCCTCGATAATTTTCTAGCTGCATTTTGTTTATTTATGCTGTTATCGATGTAATGTATGCTGTAGTAATTATCGAAATAAATAAATAAAAAATAAAAAATAAAAAACTTATGTACGTAATCCCTTTAACTCGCTTAGTTCTACTAGGCTCTGCGACTGTTTTCACGGCGTAGTTAGTAATTTGTATGGTACTGATAGTCCAAAGTATAAATAATCATAATAATAGTGCTAGACATAGCCACAAGTTACCTTTTCGCTTCTCACTGCGTGAAACTGTCGTAGAGCCCTAGGAGGGAGGGGGGGGGCAATCGACGATTGTGATTGTACCGAGCCTAGTCGGGCTAGGCCAGACAAAGCCAAAATATGTAAAATCGCAAACACGAGCTTGTAAATAAACTTACTCAAAATTGAGCTAGGGAAATTTACATCATCTGCTGTGTACATAAATGCAATGTATGCATGGATTGCCTAAAATACGCTTGAGAAATGTTTTGCAATAAATTAGTTTTTATTTCTGTTAATAGGTGGCAGCAGCATTGTAGCTGACGTGTTGTATCATTTTGTTCAGCCGGTTTTCTGTATTTGTATATATAAGAAACTCGCTTATCCTCGCCAAAATGAATCTAGATTTTCTCGACGATGTAAAGCGTATGAATAAGCGCCAGGTATGTAAGATTGATTTAGTTGTCACATTGTGTCTACAAAGGAAGTGGTCTGTCATTCATGACTAGGCCTAAGTTCCAGAATCGTGACAGTCACAATGCCAAGGCAGGCTGTTTAGCCTCTCTTTAGGGTTGTACCGGCGTATTTGGACGCTCGTAGTATTTGGACGCTCCGTAGGCATGCTCTTTTGTTTTGCTCTTGTTTTCTTTTTGTTTGAATCTTGTTTTGCACGGCCATAGGAAATAGTAGACATGCTCTTTCGTTTTCTTTTGTTTCGCCTTGTAACCTGACACACATAACACAGTCTTACTAATTTACTACATATTGCAAATTGTTTCAATCAAATGTTTCCATCAGTGACAGGGAAGTCCGCCATGTTTGTTTATTGCGACCGTGTCGAAGGGCAAGATGCGCAGATGACTAATGCGCATATTGTGCATGCGCTGTGTGCGCCCTTGCAAAACAAGAGGCGCCTGCGCGCATGCGCACTTAGGAGCGTCCAGTTTGGGGCGAGCGTCTAAATACGCCGGTACAGGGTGTTTTAAGTGACAGTGTGAGTGTCACGGTGATTGTAACGTGTATTAAGTTGTACGTGCTCATGCTGGCTGGATCGGGCAGTCATATCCTGTAGTTTATATATGGAGATATCATATTATTGACAGCTCAGTCGCCACGTGGTTAGCGTGTCCACCTTTCAATTCGAAGGTGTCAGTTCTTTCCATAGGCCCTATAGGCTATAGCACTGGATTTTTTTCAAGATATAAAAACCTGGGTTATTATCATGAATAGTTATATGACTATTCAATCATGGTTCTTCCCTGGCCTTTAACAAATGTCGGGTTTGGTATTCCTTCAAAGCTGAAGCTAATTTGTGACATCCCTTGAACCCATCGACATTAAAGTTAATTTAAAGCTGCTTACTTATCATGATCCCAACAGAGTCATACTGTGTTTTATCAGCTTGATGTATATATCTCCAAACTGATCGAGTATATACATGTATTGGGGCTGCTTATGACACGTGTATATGACTTGAATTGGTACAATGACCTCACCAGCCTTTTATCCATCAATAAATGACATGCATTGTGATATTCCTTGGGAAGAACCCTGCTAACATATGTATAAAATCTCAACTTTTGTATGCTACTCTTCAAAAGTTATGACACCATATACTCATGATGTTTTAACTACGTATATGTTTCTAATGATGGACCCCTGGCTGTCAACATCGAGGAATGTGAATAGTGGGGATTATGACAAGTGTAAGAACATAACATAATATAACATATTTCTATGCATAATTACTGGTAAGTCTTGTCATAATGAGTTTACATTTCATGTTTGACTCCCCAGCCCTGAGCTAAATATCCGTAGTGTACAAGGCTGTTCTTGAGCAGACACTAAATATACACAGTAAAGAACTTGCTTTGAGAAGAAGATTTGGTGGTATAATAACCAACTCTGAATGTTAAAAATGAATATCTGTAAATGTCTTATTTAACAGTGCCTCACTTGCCTTGTTAACTATAATGTTGTGGTCTAATATGGCCTTGTGTTCTAAATGTAGGAATAAGCCGTTCCTGTTAATGCTGTTTCAGATGGTATATCAAGTTTTGAACTTTGGCATGATTGTATCATCAGCTCTCATGATTTGGAAGGGACTGATGGTTGTGACAGGTAGTGAAAGCCCCATCGTTGTTGTACTCAGGTAAGTTGGAAAGTTTGCGCTGGACCAGACCAGGTCGTGTGTGTGTGTGCGCGTGTGTGCGAGTGCGTGTGCATGCATCTCTGCATGTCATTGAATGGCCGCGTGCAGGCGTAGAAAACATACTTAATGAAACGTTGTTGCTTTGTCTACAGTGGGAGTATGGAGCCGGCATTTCACAGAGGAGACCTATTGTTTCTCACAAATTACCAGCAAGATCCGATAAGCGTCGGGGAAATAGTCGTGTTCAAAGTCGAAGGGAGAGATATACCTATTGTTCACAGAGTGCTGAAACTACATCAGAGGTAAGTAAGAACAATATAGAAAGTGATCCATCAATTTCAGTGTATTTGTTAGATGTTTTATTGTATGAATACGTGCATCTGCACATTCACTCTATATAATATATCATTGTATTTTACTTAAATGACAAAGTGAGGTTTAAATAGAGAGATACACAAAGTCCCACATATTTCGTATCTCTTACCTTTCCCATGAAATTCAGTATATTGCTTAAATGTGATGAAGTTTGGTTGAAATATATTTAAATGTTCTACTTGAATGTACCATGTTCGAGCATGATTAACTGAGAGATTAATGCTGATCGTTGCTGGCTTGTTGCCATGTTCACTCGCTGTATTGTCATGCACCTTGCTAGGGTGGATGGACGGGTAAAGTTCCTCACAAAGGGTGACAACAATGCGGTGGATGACCGGGGTCTCTATGCACCGGGCCAACTGTGGCTGGAGAAGAAGGACGTGGTGGGGCGAGCCAGAGGATTCGTCCCTTATGTCGGCATAGTCACCATTCTAATGAACGACTATCCAAAATTCAAGGTACATGCTCAGAACTGCCACACGTACTTTCACCGTTTGACACTTGACAAAATGAAAATTGAAAGAGGAACGGTACTCTAGGTTTAATGCATGCTTTCAGTTAAAGTACGTTGACGTCATCGTACATGGGAAATGTTGTGGTTCAATATTGGTTAGAAATGGTTTTTTAATGTTTTTGAAACTGTCATTGATTACCTGCTTACAACACGTGTAGTACTACCTGTGGTGGTATAATCACACTTTATTATTAGGTTACAACGTGAAACATGCAAATTAAAAATTGAAAAAGTGAAACTTTATGTTATGGTTTCATGGTAACACCCAAAATTGTTGCTTGTAAAAATGTGATCTTTGATAACCAAAGTTAATTTCTGATAACAGAAAATATGTAGGTATATACTATAGTTATGTAATAATATACTATTAAATTCTAGAGTACTGTTCCTCTCCAATACACTAACTTATAGTAGACAATTGCAAGTACACTGTAACAGCTCATGAACTGGTATTACATGTAAATTTGCACGCGTTAGAGCAAGTGTTATTATCACAGGAGGTGACACTGGCCATGGCATCCAATATGTTATTGTTAGACTGATAACATAGTAAAAATCTGTTACGGACATGTGTAATTACTTAGTAAGTTTTATATGTAGGTAAACATCTATAGGCCTTTTCTCATTCAAAAGTGCTCTCGCAGCTGAGGTCCTGTCAGACTAGACCTCTCCTACCCTGCACATGTTGTGTGTAAATTCGACTGCAAACGTTACTATGGGCCATGCCTAACGTGGGTACCATTGCCGTGGGTTGTGACATATCTGTGCCGTTGTGTTGCAGTATGCAGTGCTGGCCTGCTTAGGAATTTTCGTCTTGATACACCGTGAATGATGTCCGCTGCTCCACCCGACACACAGATCTGCAAAGCACTCTGTCGGATATTAGTATTTAAAAGCACACGATGGTGCTCATCATACAACCAGAGTACAGACAGAAGGACACCCTGCGTCAAGATTCTAGTTCAACAATCTTTGCACGTATGGGTGAATTATTTGTCTCTGATCGTTCTTTATTTTTTTAGAATATTGAATTTCCTCGACACTGGCTATGGGTAGAAGCATTTTATCTCGATTTCAGGGTAGCATCTAACCGAGAGTTTCTGTCATGTCTTCTAAAATGACAGGATATTTAAAATATTCAAATGGGATAGTTTGCAATGCGGTATCTTGGTGTGTGCTCATTGAAAGTGGCTTTCTGTTGAAATACATATTATGTCTATTCATCTCATCTTAGAAACACGATTCTGTACATTTATGTCTAAAGTAGGACAAATATATTAATTAGTTTCTTGGAAACCACATATTTGAAAGGCATGGATTATTATTTGTGGCCTGAACTTACAGCAAATTAATTTACTATGGTTGGTCCCTCGCTAGCAGAATGACATGGCTTTTGTACAGTCTCCATTAGCTTGCCATTACCCCTGATCATGTCACAAGTGTTAACATTTTTACTTGGTGTTGTTGCCATGTAAGTGTGTATAGAATTGTTTTCCGGTATAAACTCGGAAACTCTGCCACTAGGTGTCACTACTGATCAATAAACTACCAGCATGTAATTTCTCGCATGCCTGCCTGGCAGTTACGTTTGGAGCGGCAACCTCGTGAAACTAGTTGGTTGTAACCACTGGCAGCATGATTAAGTCCGCCCTACCACGCTCACGCTACAACACACACGCACACGCATACCCACGCACATATATTTATATATAAACTATAGCACATGGTTGTGACGTCTGGGGAGAGCTACGTCTCTTATATATACATGTGCTGACCACTGATATTTACTATGGTTGGTCCCTCGCTTGCAGAATGACATGGGTTTTGTACAGTCTCCATTAGCTTGCCATTACCCCTGATCATGTCACAAGTGTTAACATTTTTACTTGGTGTTGTTGCCATGTAAGTGTGTAAAGAATTGTTTTCCGGTATAAACTCGGAAACTCTGCCACTAGGTGTCACTACTGATCAATAAACTACCAGCATGTAATTTCTCGCATGCCTGCCTGGCAGTTACGTTTGGAGCGGCAACCTCGTGAAACTAGTTGGTTGTAACCACTGGCAGCAGGATTAAGTCCGCCCGACCACGCTCACGCTACAACACACACGCACACGCATACCCACGCATATATATATATATATAAACTATAGCACATGGTTGTGACGTCTGGGGAGAGCTACGTCTCTTATATATACATGTGCTGACCACTGATGCTGAGAGGGTCTATGTCCCCCGGGGTACTGCCGGACCGTACCTCGCCTACTCCACTAACGAGTCTAGGGAGTCGCCTACGCCTACTCCCTGACCCTAACCCCAACCCTAATCCTAACCCTAACCATATCAAATAATGACCAGGGTACGTTCCGGCAGTACCCTGGGTGACATAGACCCTATGAGCACCACTGACAGAGAACGGCAACAGTTGTTATATCTTCTGTTTATCATAGAAATACATTTCGGGTCCCAGATCTTCACCGCTCTATTTTCTAAGTCAACGTGTTTTGTGCCTCTACTCTCGTGTCGTTCGTGTGGGAGTGGAGATCGGTTGCGTTCACTCCATGGTAACCGCTCATGCTTGGTCGGTACTCCCCTGTAATGTAGTGTGCTGTCAAATGGACCGTAGAAAAGCCGTTGCATAGAAGTTATCATCAGGAGTCTATCAATCTCCTGTTATCATCACTAAGTAAATCATGTGGACGACGCATGTATTTCTTACCGAGACCCCCTATGCACGCGCAGATATTCCGAGCTTCTACATATCGGTTTGCAATGGAGTAGATTAACGTAAGGAAACGCAGATGAGTGTGGGTGTGCATGTGTTCGTGCGTGCGTGTGTGTGGTTGGGGGGTGCTGTCGATGCATACGCGTTCGCTACTGTGAGCACGCTGGGCGTATAAAACTTCGCATCATTGCAGATGAGCGCAGAACGGTAATGTTTTGGAATGCTGCCAAGATACTCGCTAGTTGGATGATTTGAACATCAGGCCAGTGTTACGTCTAAACTTCCCGTACCACCAATTTTTACTAATATGTCTATAGAACATCGGAAAGCAAATTGCAAGGACGCATCGTAATGAAATATAATATTGTGCGGTTAGACAGATCGGGCTCGGGAATTCTCGCCGCACTGCATTGTAATCACCGATGAGGGAATTGGCTAGCCGTATCTGTAAGAGTGTAAACTTGCAGCCGTGTTTGGATGTCTGTGAGCTACACGTGTACGTGTATTTGCTGAATGTGACTGTGTTGTTGTCGTATGTGGTCTTGTAGGGCGGTTTCGGTATTGTGGTTTTGTGATGGTTTGGAAAAAGAAATGTCATTTTCTACTATGTCGAGTTGTCCATGGGTTTTATCTCTCAAGTTGATGAAACATTCGCAATTGTCTATTTAAAAAAAATCTCGCATAAATTAAATGTATTGTGCGAAACGGACATCGGAAGACATGCTACAAACTCGCTTCATATTTCATATCATATTTTGTATTTAATCCGTAAATAAATTCGTCACAAGAGCAATGGGAAAGTAGGCATAGTAAAAATATAGATTCTGTGTGAAAGCCATCTAATACGAAAAATAATCCTCAGACTTTAATTTGCAATATTGCAACACGCGAAAATGAAAGTCGACCTAGACACAGTTGCTCCTAAACATCCACCGACCAGACTTGTTTACACATTTTTCCAAAAAAGAAAACGTTCATCGGAAGCTTCTTACGTAAACAGTTTTGGACAAAAATGTATAAGACGAAAAATATAATAGCAGCGAAGGAAATCACATTTAGAAACGATAGTAGAGCTAGTATTGACGCAGGATTCGCGGCAGCCACATAGGCTACACCGACACTAGAGAAGCATGCGCGCATCGTGTGAATATTTGCATATGAGCTTATATCGAGTTTTCCAACTCGTAAATATTCCTAACCACAAGCCCATTGCACATCATCATCATCGTGGAATTACAACAGAACGCAGAAAGATTAGACACATGCCTATCATAACATGACTTTCGAATACAACTGGAAATGTATGGATCAATATTTCTATAGAAATATATTATCGATGCGTATAATTATAAATGGAAATATCTCTTGGAAAACAATTATTTTACGAGCTAACCACGTAATAAATGCTCCACCAATAAGTATCTATACTAAATAGTAAGTTATCACGATCCGCTACCATGTCTATATAGAAAGTCTTGGAAGTTCGGAGTGAACGGGCGTGGATACTGAAGTTGGTGTGTTATTACTTACTATACCCCAACCATCCTCTACGACCAGGACGACTGCTTTCAATCAGCCACTTCACACTAATCGCTATCTAACCTTTCCCGATGACCAAGACAACTGTTTACAATCTAATTGCTCACCCACTTACACGCACACTGTTGCCCTAATCCATTTCCAGTGTCGCTGAAAGTTGCACAAAGCATCACGAGCGATTGTGGTCAATAATCGAGCTATACTCAATCAGCAGCATTAAGACACACCGATGGGTTTTCCTTCGCAACTATTTCATCGCCAACTTTCATGTGTTCGGGCGCATCGAAATCTGCCCAGATTCCAAGTGACAATTATCCTTGTTAGGAAGCTGTCAGGCCGGAAAATGGTCGAGTGCACTCGTTTCTTTATACGAGACATCGAGAAAAAAATGTATCGAGGAAGAAACGCACAGCAGCGTGTGTACAACAGCACGAAGATGTTTATTCTCCCGCTTCCTGCGTAGTAGTACTGCACTGCACCAAGCTACTGCATGATATCAAGAGCTAATAATACCTATTATTAGGTATTATTAGCTATTGATGATATCAGGAGTAAGATAATATAGGATCTACTATATTATCTTACTCCTGATGATATCCTACTACACAACACTAGTGAGCGATAATGTACTGCACAGTAGTATTATGCAACACAATACAATGCAGTGGTATTATGCAATATACACAACACCATGAAGTAGAATACCCTGCACTAGTATTGTATATAGTGGACCACCATACAGTAGTATGATGGTATTATAGTACATTATACTATGCTGTCTCATCTAAACTTGACACGGAGTTGAAGGCGAAGGCAGAAAGAATAGCCAACGGTGGAGCCTGAGCCGCACGCGGATAGACGACCGGAAACAACCCTCCCGGTAGGTATCACGGAATACAAAACAATTTAGAAGAACGTGATCGCTTCCTCAGATCAAATAAAGGAGACGACGACTTCAAAACGTACACGCCCTGGACAAAATAAATTTCGACGAATTTTAAGGGAACCAAATAACGTAGGCATTATCGTTCATTTAAACCATATAATAGACAAACCGACGGATAAACACAAAATGTACTATTTGTCATCTTGCGATATTTGTATACCAACACACCGTAAATAACCTGTAAATAGCTTCTGAATTCATACGCTTAACACTTTTTATATATTACTACACATAACCTCATTCCACATCTGGAAATAGTGCCTTTTCAAATGATACAAACAGACAGCAGAATATATTAACAACATCTTTGTAACTAAACCACAGATACGTTTACCTACATTCCATCAAGAGTCCATAACAGTTCCATAATTTCTATTATGGACCCTTGATCCCATATAACTGTGACCGTTTTAGCGTTCTTTGATAGGAACGCGCGCCATTTCTCTCGTACAGGAGCGTAACCGAGCGCAAAAAAACGTGCAAAAACAACACGTTGTTTTGTTGAATTTAACTTCATATAAATAAATATTCATAAAGTCTTCGTGGACGAGCGGTGGGATGTTTGCACGGTAGGACAGCAGCGGTGTGTTGTGGTAATATTGAAACTCACTTCCATGTCTGACTAGCGGTTTATTTATCCGCATATAAGAGTTACTAATCAACCGCGTAGGCTCTGCACGTGGGTCTGTCATATCCTTGTTGTGCCGAGCAGAGGAAATAGTTGCCTCCACAGAAATGCTTAATGTCTGTATGCTTCACCTATAACTGGTAAGCGAGCCACGTGATGGGGGGGGGGGGGTCATCGTCGGATTAATATTATGTCATAATAATTCTTAGTTGTTTTAGTATTTGCATTACATGTCACTATCGTTCTCACAGCGGTCGCGCGATGAGAAAACTTTCATTCCTGCTTTTAGAGCTACGTATAACGGACGTATTGAACTCTTGGTGACCTCTCAATAGATCGCTTATGAATTAAGAACTAAATATTTATTTGTGCGCATTCATTACGCGATCATAGATTTTTGGCGAAACAGCTCTTTGGTCATTACATGAGTCAAGACAGGACCCTACTCTGCACGAGACTGGTGCCCCATCTAACGGGAATTACCCTGCAACAAACAAACGTCTAATACAGCGCTGGTGTTAACCCACGCACGATACATCAGCAGCATCCAGGGCGTGATGGCCTGTTACACACAGCATCCCCACCGGGAAAACCTCTTGCCATCGAATTGCCTAGCTTCGATACTGAAACCGGGATGAACTGGACGTGTCCTAAACGCAAGCGGGCATCCATCGCGTATGTTCTCGCTATTCGGACCAGGCTCTCTGTAACTGATTGCGAGTGACAAGCGGGGAATCGTAGGCACGATGCTACGTACGTCGACGCAATCATATGCGATGCACTGCTGCGACCGTTGTGGTCTACGCCGTCGTTTACCCCTGTAGACTCCCACAGCTGCAGCTGTAGCGCCAGCAGCAGTACCACCACTACCACCAACAGCAGCAGCAGCAGCAGCAGCAGTAGCAGCAGCAGCACCACTACCACCACCATCACCAGCAGCAGTATCAAGCAGCACCACTACCACCACCAGCGGCAGTAGCTGCAGCACCACTACCACCACCAGCGGCAGTAGCTGCAGCACCACTACCACTAACAGCAGCAGTAGCAGCAGTAGCAGCAGCACCACTACCACCACCACCACCAGCAGCAGCAGCAGCAGCAGCACTATCACCACCATCACCACCACCACCACCACCACCACCACCACCAGCAGCAGCAGCCCTACTACTACTACTACCACCAGCAGCAGCAGCAGAAACACTACCACCATCACCACCACCACCATAACCACCACCAACAGCAGCAGCAGCAGCAGCAGCAGTAGCCACCGGTCGGTATAATAACGGCCTCATTTTCCTGATCAGTGGCTGGGACGCCGGGAGAAGATACAAATCGAGAGCAAATTAGCGCGTCCGTACGTACGTCTACCGCGGGCGTTCTGCTGGGCCGCACGCCTCCCCCGCTAGCGCCGCTGGCACACTCGCCAACGCCGCCTCTCTAGCTGCGCGCGGCAGCACATCAAGTCCCGCGCCACCCACGTGCGTGCGTGCGTGCGTGTGTGCGTCAGCGCGGCTCGCCGTTATCGTCAGCCTCCGTGTGACGCACTCACAGATTACATTACACGGCAGGGCAAGCGATTAGATTCACCGTACCATCCCTCGCGCAGCTATAGCAGCCCGCTAGCCAGCAGCACGCAACGCGGTAATTATACTAGGCGTTGTGCTAGTTCATCTGTAATTACGTCATTGCAATCAATGATGAATATTGTGTCACAAACATGGATGCGTGTGATGACTTCGTTCGATACGCAAAAACACGCACGCACGCACGCACGCGCGCGCGCACACACACATACATATATAGTTGGCCTTGCTCGCGTCAAGCTAACGGTCAGATTTTTCGTGCATTATCCTAACAAGACCACAGCAGCGCACATTACGTTATCACTTTCCGCGCGATCCCGAATTCAATTTAGTAAGATGCGTTTTGCTCGAAAGAGAACTACTATATATATATATATATATGCCGTAAATAGTTTAGCCTTCTCAAGAAACGAATCGCGGACAATATACGTGTGTATAGAACTGCTGCTTCCGAGAATCATGGCGCCTACTAACAGCTACAATAGAAAAGCCGTGTAATCCGCTAGCTGGCCACATGTCTTACGAGTAACGCCGGCAGTGGGAGGGACGCTGTCGATTTTCAGTCTGCACGATCGGGAGAGACTTGTCGCCGCACTCGCTAGCTGCAAAAGGAAGAGCGACGAGCGAGCAATGAGGTGCAGCAGGGCTGCTAACGCGATGTACCTCATAAGGAAAGTGACAATTAACGCGGCGTGATTACCAAACAGGAACGACACTATCGATTAGGAAACCTGAATGGCCGCTTCACTTAACGAGCAGAGGCGAGCCATATAGATCTGTTATATGCGGCAACATCACAGGAACAGCACTCTCGCTGCCTTTACACTCTCCCACCGTGACCAGCAAAGATGATCTTAACATGCACGCATGCCATTTCCCGGAGGATCACTCACAGCATGCAAACCCTGCCATCAACAACCGCGGCGTAGAGGCGACACGATTCTCGTATTCCGTTGTTCCAACGACGTCATGATTCGGCTATTCTGCCGTCGCGACGAGAGGCGTGGCAACTGAAACCGTATACACGCAAGAACGTCGCTCGCTCGCTTGATAACACAACGAATCCTCCCGCGCGTTTCCTCGCGAGTTCGTTCGTACACGCACGCGCATACACGCGCGCACATACTCGCTGTTCCTCGCGAGTTCGTTCGTACACGCGCGCGCATACACGCGCGCACAAACTCGCTGTTCCTCGCGAGTTCGTTCGTACACGCACGCGCATACACGCGCGCACATACTCGCTGTTCCTCGCGAGTTCGTTCGTACACGCGCGCGCATACACGCGCGCACAAACTCGCTGTTCCTCGCGAGTTCGTTCGTACACGCACGCGCATACACGCGCGCGGGCACACTCTCGCTGTTAGGCACCTGAACACG